AATCTTCCTGGGTGGGGCTATTACAAAACTAGCCTGTTCTCTAGAAGGGGGCACACACAAGGCCCCTGGACCAGACCAGGACTGGGGATCCCAAGCCATGCAGGAGCTATAGGTTAAAACCAGCACTTTGAATTTGGCCTGGAAATGAACTGGCAAAATATGCAAGCAATCTGGGACCAGGCTGATATGGTTGTTGCCTAAGCTATAGTGGATTTGGGCCAAGCACAGCAAAAAAATTCAGAAAGAAGGACAAGACAGAAAGGCAGATTCAAAAATTACCTTAAAAACCAGAAAAATTCATTTAAAAAATTAAATGGGAACTTCTGATTAAAAATATAAACTTTAAGTTTCTTTTAAACAATAGCCATTAACTAACGAAGGACAAATGATGTTAGTCTCAGTGGGTGAGTTTGCCCAGTAGGTCAAACTTATACCTACAAGTAAGTTACGCAGTGCAGCTTATTCATGAAGCAGCCCATGGTTTGTCTGACAGAGGATGAGGCGCTACATGTGGTGTCCCCAACTCCTTTTCCCTCAATACCCCCAGGGATGTCACAGTGGGACCCTTCTAGGCTCCTCTGCCTGCTGTGATTGTGGCCACTGTCACGCTTGCTGTTGCTCCCTCCAATACCGCTTCTTTTGAACATTGCTTTTCAGGACCTTCAAAGTGACACCTCTGATGACAGCTCCTTTAAAGTGCCCAAATGGCACACTGGAGCAGCTCACTAGTTTCCCATCTTTTAAGAAATACTTTCTTTGTGCCCAAGATGTGTACAATGTTTAAAGTTATTTTTTCTTTGAGGGGATCAGCAGTTTGCAGTTGTACAAGTGCAAGGGATGGTATGCAGATCACTCCCTCTTCAGTTTTGTCATCTAGCTAGTGTTTTAGAATTTTTTTAGATCTTCTCCTGCTCCTGAAACTGCATGTGCTTGAGCAACTACCAAATGCAAACTGGTCAATTTAAGGAAACACGGTGTCAAAACTGACAACTGTCAAATCTCTTGCCTCCTTTTAACATTCCTTTCACAGGGTTCATCAGGGTTTTTCCAGGGACATGTTCAGATTCCATGGCTGCATACATCCCTCTCAAAACCCTCTGATTAGTCCTGCTGAAAGCCCCCTTTTAAAAGGAAGCCCAAGATATAGCCTTGCTTTGCCACTGTCCCTATACTTTGGTGGAAAACATCGTCCAAGGCATCGATGATGTGGGCTTACTTGAAGAAGGGCACATTAGCCCTCCTCCAGTCATCTAGCCTGCTTGTGTCCTTGACGATTTCTCAAAGATAATATACAATGGTTCTAAGAGTTCTCTTGGCAGTTCTTTTACTACTCCAGGATGGAGCTCATCAGGCTCTTCAGATCTGAATTCATTCAATCCGATTAGATTCCCTACCCCAACTGAGTCCAATCACCAAAAGGCAGGTCCACTGGTAGACTCCACACAAAGAATAAGTGCAGAGCCTTTAGGCCAGGGGTCCTCAAACTTTTTAAAGAGAGGGCCAGTTGAAAAATGCTGGCGATGGCGTGGGCCGCCAAGGGCGGAGCAGGGGCATGCACGCACATGCACTGCGAGGCAGAGGCTTGCTCGCAAGGAGATCGTTTTCTCCAAGCAAGTCCAAAACGATCTCGCCACGCACACGCACGTGTGATGAGTCCAAAACCTCTATGGCAGGCTGGATAAATGGGCATGGCGGGCCGGATTCGGCCTGCGGGCCATAGTTTGAGAACCCTATGCTTTAGGTGACTATAGAACAAAAGCGTGAGATGACCCACATGCTACAAAAGGCAAAAACCCTACTCAATCTGAACTGGGAAGAATGGGTGCTTTTAGACAAAGTTCTCCTATCATTAACAATAAAATCCATCTGACTCTTCATTTGGGAAAGATAAAAAGACAGAAATAGGGAAAAATGGAAAATGTTGTCAAGATGTCCCATAAAATTCTGTGAATGAACCAATGTGATAGCACCATAAAAGCACACACTCAAATGACACCTAAAAAAACCTGCTGTAAGTAAAGTTTTACTGAATTGCAAATCCATATACTGCTGTGCTAAAGTAAGGGAATCTGTGCTGAAACAACTTAAAAGTGACCCATGTTTCCCTGCTATCATCTCTCAAAGAAGAGAAACACTACAGGAAGCTGGTTGACAGCAACAACAACAACAACAACAACAACAACAGTTAGCCCAGTCACAGCTTGTTCTTGTAAGTAAGTAATCGGAATAAAAGCAGGACATGTTTGACGACTACCTTTAAGCTGCAAGAGAAATTGCGTGCCCCCCTGGATGTGTAAAACCAGCAACTCCCTGCATCAGAGGCAATGTTCTGAAGGACAACTGCCCAAATAAGCAAAGGAAAGCGCAAAGCCTGGATGAAACTGAATTCATAGTCAGAATGGGAATTCTGTGACCTTCCAGACACTGGATTCCAACTTCAGTCATGATTTGGACATGCTGCCTGGACTGAGGGAAGTGCACTGCCTTTATACCCCACACTGTTCCTCTTATGATGAATGCAAGGCAGCTTACACAGTCCCATTTCATCCTCACAACCACCACAACGTGAGGAAAGGGAAGATGAGAATGAATACTTGGCCAGTGGTCACCCAGTGAACTTTGTGGGTGAGTGGGGAGTAGAACCTGGACCTCTGGAGTCCCCATCTAACACTTTAACCATCACACCATGCTGGATCTTGGGTGAGCCCAGTAAGATATGGAGGGCTCTGAGTTCTTTGTCCCAGCTGCTCTTTGCAACCTGCCAGCAGGTTCGCTGTTCCATTTTCTGAATGTGATGCAAGACACTTGCATCCATCTAGAGACCTTCTATTCTCATAGCTCATGTATTAGTTCCTTACTCCTGACTCATTATTATAACCATGGGAAAAGTATAGCGACACAAGTACAATTTCTCACTGCTGATATGTAGCTTTTTCTTATCCAGCCCAAGGCTGACCATACAGCAAGGGTGAGCCAAATGAAGATTCCCAGATGTTTTGAACTTCAATTCCCAGAGGCCTCTGCAAGCATGGCCAATGGTGTGAGTGAACTCTCTGGGGATCTACTCATCCCTGCCCTTATATCTGGCATTGAACTTTGCCTACCCTGAAGTCTCTACTTCCCCACTGCTGGAACGGGGGTATTTGGTAGCAAGATTCACAAAGCCTGAAAATATCTACTGGCATGGTCATCCATGGTGCGGCAAGCAAGATCTACCTCCAGGTCTGCAGACTTCTATAAATGGGAAGAGTTGGTTCTTTGTCCCTTCCAGGACATCTGAAGACTTATTTGTTACATTTACATCCCACCTTTCTTTCATGATGGAACTCAAAGGAACTTAAACACGGGTCCCACCTGGTCCCTTCTCCAGATCAGCTTGGCTCCAGTGAGGAGCCTTGTGTGCCTCTGGACTAACAGATGCTTATGCAAACAAGAGAGCCACTACTTTTCAGCCTTTTTACTTTCCAAGGACACCAGACACAAAAACATCTCAGACTCAGCTACTATGACCAGAGTAATAAGATTCTACCTCACCCAATATGAGCTGAACCTAGTGAGTCAGATTACAAGTCGCTTGGAATGCTACCCAGAACTTGCAGCCCCTCAGTGGAGCAGTTTGGGTACTTTCCTTTTCCACAGGAGGGCACTCAAAACCTTTGCTGCATTACTTGCAATTAATCTGAACTATCAACTCCATTACCTGGTGAGGCTTTTACCATAATCAAAATGGGAAAACTGGTAGTTCACTGATGGAGCACAAGCTTTGCATATAGGAGGTTCCAAGTGATCTGCACAATTACTGGGATTAAGAAGTGGGAAACAGTAAGTACTTTTACCTGAGCTGCTGCAGAGCTTTTGCCAGCCAGCATATACAATACTGAACAGGTAGGCTTACTTGCCACAAGGCTGCTTTCTATGTTCCAAACAAACAGAACAAAAACAAAACGCTTTGTTGCTATTGAAATTGAAAAACAGGTCAGTATTTAAACACAAAAGTAACATTTCTGAAGTGAGATAGCATTCCCAGGAAAGGTTCCATTGGGAAGGATTAAATTCGAATCTGTCCACAAATTAATCGGACTACTATAAATTTATATTAATAACAAAACTAAGGAAGCAAATTCTGTTTACTGCCTTCAAAGCCTACACAGCCTAGTGCATTACAATAGGCAGGACCTTTCATTTCTGCCACGTGCTTGGCCTTTTTCTAGGGCTACTGAAAGACTGTGCCACAGCAGGATTCCGAGGAGGCATGCTCGCCATGTATTTCCGAACTCCCAATGCCCTTCAAATAGGGAGAGAAAGTAACCCTCCCGGGGTGGAAACGTGCTGAGTGCGCGCTTTCCTCCTCTGCACAGCGCGGCTCGCAGGACCGAGCGTTTTGGCTCGGAGAACTTCAGACCTGCGCCCGCGGCCACGTTACGAGCAAATAAAGAGCTCACCCTGGTGGCTCGCGACGGTACCGACAACAAAACAAGTCGAGCGGGAGCCACACGCTCAGCCCATCCTATACTAGCTGCCCGGTGGTCCGCGCGAGCGCAGCCACCGCTGGCCGCCGGAGCAGCCCGAACCGAGCGACGCGGCCCCGCAGAGCGAGGAGCCCGCGCGGCGCCCGGACGACGGCGAGCAGCGAGGGCTCGCCTCGCGGCGCCGCGTTCCCCACCGGCCGGGGCCCCTGGGGGCGCCGGGGCGCGCTCGGGGCCCGGCCGGCCCGGGCTTGCGCTCGCGGGC